CAGCTGGGACCTGCAGAGTGGTTGGCCCTTGCTGTAGATCATAATGAGTATTGTGGACCAGCCACTTTGACCCAGCTACTGGTGAAGGGGACAGCAGCAGTGACAGAGGGGTGTGTTTGTGTCAGCACCAAAAATTAAGTTGCTGGTGGTGGCCCTCTCTTTTCTCCTCTTTCAGGGGCTGTAGGGGTACAAGGAGCTCACAATGCTGCAACTATTACATCTACATACGGACATGGGTGGGGATGGTCCTCATTTCTCTGCTGTCTCTCATCACTAGGAACTGTTGGCAACTACTGCTGGTCCTGGAGGCTGAAATCAACCCTCTCCACTCGAGATGAGCTTTTTGAGCTTCTCAGTTAATTTTTCATCCAGAAGGGTCATTTGCCATTTTTCAGCATCTGCTCATCACTCATGGAAGGAGATGCATGGGAACCCACTGTTCTGTGTGCTGGGAGAAGCTGAATTTTCACCTGAGCGGAGAGGAGGAGCATGTTTCGGCAGTGGGTAGGAGCTGGACTGACTTAGCGTGACACATCATGCTCTGAAGGGAAGGATGTCCCCTACGCTTTTGTCTGGGACACAAGTTAGGAAGTGGCCAACTGTGTCCTAGGCTGCATCCCCAGCAGCGTGGGCAGCAGGTCAAGGGAGGGGATTCTGCCCCTCTGCTCTCCTCTGGTGAGACCCCACCTGCAGTGCTGTGTCCAGCTCTGCGGTCCTCAGCACAGGAAACACATGGACCTCTTAAAGCAAGTCCAGAGGAGGCCACAAAAATGATCAGAGGGCTGGAGCACCTCTCCTGTGAGGACAGGCTGAGAGAGTTGGGGTTGTTCAGCCTGGAGAAGAGAAGAGAAGAGAAGAGAAGAGAAGAGAAGAGAAGAGAAGAGAAGAGAAGAGAAGAGAAGAGAAGAGAAGAGAAGAGAAGAGAAGAGAAGAGAAGAGAAGACCTTATTGTGGTGTTTCAATACATAAAGGGGGCCTATAAGAAAGATGGGGACAGATTTTTAGCAGGGCCTGTAGTGATAGGACAAGGGGTGATGGTTTTAAACTAAAAGAGGGGAGATTTAGACTAGATGTAAGGAAGAAATTTTTTGCAATGAGGGTGGTGAAACCCTGGTACAGGTTGCCAGGGGGATGGTAGAAGCCCCATCCCTGGAAACATTCAAGGTCAGTCTGGACGGGGCTCTGAGCAACCTGATCTCGTTGAAGATGTCCCTGCACTGCAGGGGGGTTGGACTAGATGGCCTTTAAAGGTCCCTCCCAACCCAAACCATTCTATGATTCTATGATTCTATGAAACCGATGTAGTTAGACTGCTGGATCTATTTTGGCAGCTTAAATGGAATGAGCAGAGGCATAATGAAACAAGGGGAACCCATGTGGAAAAGACAATCTTGCACTTGACTTTATTGTTTGCAAAATGACTGCTCTTTCAATACCACATTAGGAGTTTTGGCTTGTCCATATCCACAACACAATGCAGCCAAAGCCCCTAAATAATGTTATGTTGACTGAAGTGCCAAGAACTTAATCTTATGTTTTGCAGGCTGACAAAATCTGTATCAAATTTAATGTCTTCTATCTCCTAAAGCACTAATTTTAGACACCTAAATGTAATATTTATTTATATTGTCACAGTATACCTTATAACAGGTTGGTCTGCCTAGCAGCTAATCAGGTGATGACCAGATTCCTGCTTCTCAGTTCACGTGGCCAGGCAGTGATGCCATGTGGCACTTGGCCACAGCACATTCGACCTTGGAAGGCAGCATGGCTGTCTCCCAGAGACACAGAACATATACTATTATATATCCATGTCTTTCTAATGCAATCAGCTTTATCCTTGATGAACTTCTAGTCTTTTAGTGGCATTTTCTGTAATAAATGTTTTATATTTAAAATATAAATAAATTTAAACAATAAAAATAATTGTTTTTAAACACAAGGTCAATTTGTTTATCAGTAAGTGTTACTTTTTCTGTTTTAGGGTATATGCTGGCTTGCTTTTGTGGTTTAAATTCAGCTTGAGACCTTCAGGGACGCAGTAATTGTGGACTCCCCATAGCAACTCTAGTGGGGAGCATCAGAGAGCAGGCAGTCCAATTAAATCAAGTGCCATGGTATATCTCTCCTTATGAGGAATATGGCTACTCCTCAGGCATTTCTTCCATCTTTCCATGATTTTTCTTTCATTTATATCGATTTATAGGCCAAAAAGGCAGACAAACCACCAACTCTCACTTCATGTGTGACACAGACCTTGGAATTTTTCCCAGTGTCTCTTTTAACTGATGCTATCCACTTTTTATTTTTTTAATTATTATTAAAGGACAGCTTGAAAAAAGTAACCTCATCTTTATTTGAAGACTTTGAGAGATAGTCTACCATTTTTATGGACAGATGGCTAGGACAATCATCCTCACTGTTGAGTATATTATGTCTTATTCTACTCTGAACACCTAAATATATCTTGTAGCTGTTGGTTCTCACTGTGCCTTTCTCTGCAGGTTACAGAGCCACAAGAACTCTGTATTTTCTGTGGTGTGTTTGATACTGGTTTAATAAGACCAGAGTAATGCCTCAAAGTTCTCCTGTAAGGCGTTTTCTGACCTTCCTAATTGGTCCTGTTGTTTTGCTCTGACAGAAGACAACTGTTAGAATGAAAAATACTTATTTATTGGTAACACATAAAAAAATGAAGAGGAAATGATACAAGCAAAAAGTCCTTCCACCAGCAGTTACATTCTGCCCATGGTCACTCTTATGTGTTCCCACAGGTCAGGCAACTGATAGGGATTTGTGGATGAATGGCATTGAGACAGTGCGGTGGTCTAGTACCTGAGGAGACTCCACTGGCATTACTGAGCATCTTATCTTGTTTGGGTACGTTCAGCTGGCCAGATGACTTGTCTTGATCTGAAGAACTCCCCCCACTTTAGCTACTGATCTTGCCATTTGCAAATTTTATCAACAATATTTTTTATAATTGCATCTCCTGATACAAATACTAAACAGCATAGTTCTGTAGAGGCACACAATTTCAGCAGCGATTGCTGCTTCTTTTTTGGAGAATGATTTTTTATCATTTGTCTGTTAGCTAGTAATTAATCCATATGATGCAAATTCTGATGTATACATTATTTTTCTGCAGAACTGACAAATTTCTTGGCTTGTTCAATCTGCACGAGTGTTTTTATTAACCAAATGTGCTATTTTCTCAAAGAATGAAGTCAGATTTTTTCTCAACTGTTTTTTTTTTTTTTAAACCATACTAAATTATTAATGTTATTTTCATTGTTGAAGCCGTTGTTGGCTAACTTGTAGTAACTTCACACTCTCTTACCTATGATTATTACCGTGGAACCATATACCAGTCATTGGTGTTGTCTCACTTTTTCTCTGTGAACATTGGCACAACGTGGTCTTCCATGCTCTTGGGATTTCTCTAGTATGCCAAGATTTTTAAATACCCAACTCCACTGGAACAGGTGCCACACTGGCTAAAACTTTTATGATTCTGAGATGTGAATACTCTTTGTTATTGATCTGAAAATACTTACACTTAATAGGTGCTCTTAAAACCTTCCTTAGTTTGCAAATAGATTATGAAGTTGTTTACCATTCTCCTGTAGTATGAATACACAATTCTGTTTCTTTCTGTAGACAACCAACTATCTTCTCTGTATCAAAAAGCCTCCAGCAAAATTCTTCTTTATCAAGAGTTTTACTTATATCCACCTAATAATTCTAGGCCATTGCTAGAATTTCTTGGTTTTCAATGTATTTTGAAAACACTCCTTCCAAGTGTCGGTAGCCCTTGCAGCAATCCAGTTTTTCCGAATTATTTTGAACACTCCATATCACCTTGCATGCTTTGTAAATTCTCGCAGAATTTACAGTGCCAGGTAAAGATACAGATACATCTTTCTGTGCCAGATACATCCTTTCCATCCACACCTTCCTTCTGCTTTTTTTTTTTTTGCCTGTTGGTTATATACAAGATTTCTAAATGTTACCTTCAAATTCCCTGTTAGGCAGTGTGGTGGTTTGGGAGTTGAACAAGGACTGTGGTGGTTTGGGTGGATTCACCCTTTTGGCTTGCACCTTGCAGCCAAACACAGCCTGCTCTATCACCCTCCCCTCACCCAGGGAGTAGGGGAGAGAATTGGAAGGAAAAGGGCAAGGAGGCTCATGGGTTGAGATAAAACGATTTACTATTTACTAATTAAAATAAAATGATAATGATAACAACAGTGATAACAGAATATAGAATTGAGTGATGCACAGTGCAGTTGCTCACCACCCGCTGACCAATGCCCGGCCTCTGCCAGCCAGCGATCCCGGAGCCGAGACTGTCCTGAAACCCAAACCCCAGAAGAGCGAGCCCGAGCGATTCCCAAGAGAATCTCCCCGTCTTCCGGTCAGCTCTGGTTAATATACTGACATGAGGGGATATGATCTGGAATATTTCATTGGCACATCCAGATGTCAGGTCTAGGTTTTGCTATTCACTGCACTTCCCCCTTCCAGCCCTAATGCAGCTGTGAACCAGCCAAACACCGTGGCTTTGATCTAGTTGAAGATGTCCCTGCTCACTGCAGGGGGGTTGGACTAGATGGCCTTTAGAAGTCCCTTCCAACCCAAACCATTCTATGAATCTATGATTTATTCTATATATACAGTCATACAAACATTCACTTATATACAGCTTAATTTTCCCTGAAACCAGAGAAGATGCATTTCTAAAAATGTCTGCATGTTGCCTGTAATGCAGCATCCCAGCACAGAGCTGAGGCTGTCGATGCTGCCCTCCCAAGATGAAGATATGCTTTTCTGTGAGACCAGGTCTGAACTGTCACTCAGCTCCTCCACCAAGGGCAGCCCTACCCCTCCCATACCGACCCATAGCTCTGTTAATCTCTGGATGGGGCTGGCTCTCCTGAGCAGGATGTGTCAAGGGATGGGAGACAAAGGACTGCAAGTGGGTGACAGAAGGTTTTCCTCTATTCTGAAGCCCTTAGAAGTTGCTCAGACCTTGGTTTAGCTGAAAAGGAGAGAGGGAAAAAAAAAAATAGAAGTAAGATGCAGGAAGATGCCCTTTTCATAAGGGCAACTAAGGACAAGACAAGGAGAAATGGGTTTAAACTGAAAGAGGGCAGGTTTAGATTAGATATTAGGAAGAAGTTTTTCACTGTGAGGGTGGTCAGACACTGGAACAGGTTGCCCAGAGAAGCTGTGGCTGCCCCCTCCCTGGAAGTGTTTAAGGCCAGGCTGGATGAGGCTTTGAGCAACCTGATCTAGTGGAAGGTGTCCCTGCTGATGGCAGGGGGGGTGGAACTAGGTGATCTTTAAGGTCCCTTCCAATCCAAACCATTCTATGATTCTATGATTCTATGAAGACCAAAGCAGTGCAAAACATCACCTCATGCGACCTTCCAACAGAAATGAGTCTCCAGCTCATCCACTGCCCACCTTTCTCTCCAGGATCCTGGGATATCCTGACCTCCATCTCTCCTGAGAGGGGGTGCAGGGGAGAGGAAGATGCTCCTCTCTGCATCTCACCCATGAGGGAAGTGGCCCAGCATTTTAAACTCCTACCTGCTCTTCTCCTGAGCACAATGAAGAGGACAACAACGAAAATGATGGTAGCAATGAAACCCCCCACCAGTCCTTCTGATCCCGTTTGCTCTGCAGGGGAAGAGGAGAATCAGAGATGTCAGGTTGGCTGGAGCAGCAGAACAGCCATCTAGTTGTCACAATTAAACAGCCTCTCCCAGCAAGTGACCATGTGTGTGCTACTGTCAGGTACACAGGTGTGACACAACACACGTGAACTAAAGCTACACAGACCCAGGGCCAGTTATACTGGCTGAACTTAGGTGTCATAACTTTTTAAACTGTAGTATCACTTGCTTTTCCCTGCTGGGTCCGGGGGAGACACAGGAGCAATCTCCCATCAGCAGGGAGAGTGAGAACCCCAACAGCTCCAATGGGAAGAAGGATTTTTTGCGCTGTTGGGACTATAGTTCCTGAGCAGCATCACCCTCCAGCCGAACATGAAGTCCAGCTGGGCATCTAACTCCTTGGGGCATGGCTGTTTTCTTGTGCCTGTCCAGTGGGCTCCAGCCCATGCACTACAAACTTTTTCTCTGTTGCTCCACTTTTGGTCATAAAATCTCTTTTCCCCTGAAGGAAATTAGATACTTGCTGGCCCAAAAGTTTCAGGGAGTGAAATAAAGGCTGAGGAAGTGAAAGCGAAAGAGCAGGATAGAGAGGATGGGTATGAGAGGACACCAGAAGGAAAGCAGGCAGAAACAGGCAGGTGTGGTGTGACTTGGAGGTTTTGATCTCTGCAGCGGGTAGATGAGGTGGAAGGAGGTCTGGGAAGGATGAAGAACTCACCCCTCTGCCCCTGACACTTACCTGGTACCTTAAGCTGGGCACTCACAGAGATGGGCTCTGCCAGGGCCACGTGTGAAACATGGCAGCTGTAGGTGGCTGGTGCCTGCACTGTGGCTGAGCTGATGCTCAGGTAGGAGGTGATGCTGTAGGTGCCATCTCGACTTTGCCGGTGGCTGGAGAAATGTACATTTGAGAGAGGGATTTCCACTTCATCCTCTGGAGTCTTCTGTGTCCAGCTCACCGAGACATCCAGGGGGTAATAGCCAGCAATGTTGCAGGCCAGAGTAGTCATCACATTTCTCTCAAATGACACCGCTGCTGGAATCATATGAACTCTTGGAGGTTCTGGAGGAGATAAACAAGGAACTGACTTACTGTTAGCTGGTTATAGAAATAACCATCCACAAGACGAGCTGCCTGTCACAATGAATGTTGGGAGTGATGGGCTAGAGCGTCCAGGGCGAAGTTTCAGCACCTATGGACACAAGACTCCTTTTGCCCCCAGGCATTTGCCTTCCTCACCGGCCACATGCAGCTGGATGGTGTGCTGGGCCTGGTGCAGTGGGGTGGACACCAAACAGATATACGTCCCTTCGTCTCCCACGCTCACTCCTTGCAGGTCAAGCGATGCGTCTCCACTCCCCAGCAGCTCTGTCACATCCACGTGGACTTTTGGCTGTGCTGCTGGGCCTGTGCTTCCCACCTGGTACCGGAAAAGGCTACGGCCGCTGCCTCGGTGCTGCCTCCTCCACTCCAGGGAGGAGATCGAGGAGCTGGGAGCCAAGGCAAAGTGGCAGTCGAGGGTGACTGAGCTGCCAAGATGTGTGCGCAGTGAAGTGTTGCATGATGATGATTGAAATTCAACTAGAAACAGAAAGAAGGGCACAGGCAAGCAGCAAGTTAAACAGATGTTGTTAAAGAAGGCACCCTCACCAACCCTGGGAAGGGCTGGTGGCAGGGCCGGCAGTCAACTCCCCACTCAGAGGAGGAGGAAGAGGCACAGGCACCTTATGTAA